TTTCCCTAAATAAATTCAAAACTCACCCAAGTTGTGATGTGTTTATCCTCAGACAATATGTGTCCACTTACCTCAGGCTTACTGAAGTGTTATCCTCATACGTGTGAGTCTGTCTTCTATTTGAACCATGGATTCTGTCACCTTTATGTATTGGGATGTCAGCGATAAGTACTTTAAACTGGTATTAAAATCTGTCAAAATTTTGTATTTTTCATGGGAAAGAAGGCATTTTGATAGAACCACCTAATTAGATCTGACATTGAATGCCACGTGTGACATGGTAACATTGAATGGCTACAATCATTAAGTTCTTGCAAATAGAAGAATTTTTTAGCAGAGGAGAATTGAAAACATTGCATGAATAGATGGGAGAAAAATTGTGAGATTGTTGTGTGTCGGATTCTACATTTTAATTTTGTAAATTATCTTTGTTGTACTAGAAAGATGTTTGGTGTTTTTTTTCATAGTGCAGATAATTCCCTTGTAACTTCTTGCTGTCCCTGCAGCAGTACTTTCTGTAAACATGAAAAAACTATTTTGATTTCTTGCTTAGCCTGTGAGTTTTGCCTTTCGTTTCTGTGTTAATTACTGTAACATCCTGGTAACTTTATGGAAAACTGATGACAGCAGACCTGCATGTGAATCCTGCTGCATGCCATGGAAGTGGTAAAGATTAAAAGAGCAAATAGCTTGAAGCAGAAGCCTTGTGGTGGTACAGTGCCAGTTTCATTTGAGCCCAGCAGTCATGAAGTGGCTGCTTTTTTCTTTGTTATCTAAAACTTTTCTTAGCCTGGAGAATAGACACAGTATTATTTTGACTGAAGAATACTGATATTGTTTGAGATTATTTTACTGTGGAGAACAGGTTTTGAGTTTTGATGATAGAACTTTTTTCTAGGCAAATATAATGTAGTGGGAGAATGAGCTGTACTTCTCATGACCTGTGTAAAGAGCCACACCTGTGAGTTTCTTTGCATACACAATACTTTATGTAGACTGTTTAAAAATTGTCCCTTTCATACATTGGGAATACATTCTACAGAAATGCAAAGTCAAGATGGTAAAACATTGGTCTATGAAGCAACATGATCCTTTTTGAATTTATAATTAACATGCAGTCTTACCACATCTTGAGAATGGCCCCTTATCCTTCCCTAGTTGCCAAGTTACCCCAAGGTGTGACATACTGCCTATAAAACCAGAAACAGATTACAGTTCAAAGTGCTTAAAAAAATAGGAATAGATTAGTTACACAATAGGGAAGTAACCACAAATCAAACCTATTGCAAGCTAACCTTAGAGAATTGTTGAAAAGTCATTAAGCAAAGAATGATGCAAGTCAAAATAGGGTATGGATGTCGGGGTCTTTGAAGGGTTTAAGGAGGAAGGAGGTGTCAGGATACTGAATGGACACCCTGAGGGAGGAAGCTGTGGCTGGTGCCTCCTCAGAGGTTGAAGGGGCATTGCATGTCTTGTAACTCATCTGATCCAAGGATCACCTACCTGTGATCAGTGTCAGATCCTGTGATACCAGCTGGAGGACTGAGTGCAGAAATTAAGGCTAGTACAGTATTTATTGCAGCTGGTTTAACTGTCTGAAAAAGCATGTTATCCTGTGGTTCAGGAGGTAGTATTCAACATCTCATCCACCAGTTTCTTAAAAAATAGTTGAAGAACATAAAAACAGGTATTTTGTTTATTACTGATTTGATTTTGTGCACACTTTGTCATTTACAGACAAAACCAGAGCAACATACTACTTTATTATGGTATGTTATCAAAGTGTGTACAAAAACCTTTCTTAACTGTTCATTGCTGCAATTTTGCCACACCTCTTTTTCTTGCTGTTTAAAATAAGTAGATAGTCTTCTACTTCCCACTCTGTGCCCTTACTAATGTGAGCAGAGGAGGAGGCATGCATACAATTCAGTATGCAGCAGTAAAAGGTGGGGTTTTTTGTTTTGGTTTTTTAATTCCAGTGATTCAGAGGAGAAACTATGTTACTGCGTATCCAATTAGCACTTGGAAAAGACTAGAAGGGATTAATTTTCCAATTAAACCCACATCAGAATTGAAAGACTTTCTGGATTTCATAGCATTTTATGGAGCTTAATGTAACTTCTTAGGACTTTTAAAACTCTATTTTATGTATGTATTCTGCTGCCTTATTGGCAGAAGGGATTCATGCAGGTAAAATTACTAGTATGTGAGACAGGATGAGTCACAAGGTGGTAAGTATGCAGGCTGTGACATCTGATGTACCTCCAGCAGGTGAATTTTGTGTTAGTAACAAACAAAAGCAGCTCAGAGCCCTTTTAGCAGTGCCTCTACATCTTGTGTCCTCATCTGCAACACATCTGTTTGAATATTTGCATGTGATGCTGGAGAGGGTTCAAGCAAGTAGCTGCCTTCCAGCCATCAATTGTGTTTTGTGGCCACCTGAATTAAAGTCTGTGAGATAATCAGAATCAATAAATTATGTCAGTCAATTACTCCCTTAAGGCTCCAAGGAGCAAAACTTTTTTAAAATAATGTATATTTTCAGAGTTTCTTTGATGTGGTATGACTCTGGAAACCACTGGAAATATATAGAAGTATTGCCAATTATCATATTTAGATTTTTTCTTCTATCTATATATATCATATTCTGAGTATCAAATGCTTGCAGTTTAATCTCTGAGATGAGGTCTTGGAACTTTTTGTATTTGCACTGCTTTTTCACTCAGTACTTAATTAGGTAGTGGCCCTCATAGTCAGTGGATGTTGTAGAAGCCAGAAGTGTAAAAACCCTTTTATTGCTAAATGCTGGGAGAACTTGTGGGAAAATAGTACTGAATTTTCACTGTTCCTTTGTTCTTCCTCCAAACATTTGTTACTGGCCACTTCTAAAGCAGCAGAATACAGACAGCTGTCAGTTTTGGTTTGATCCAATGTGACCATGCCTAGCTACTGATTCTTTCAGCCACCTACCACTTGCTATAATATGAGTTAAATCTCTAAATATTTTGGTAAAAATAGTCTTTGAACAAATGGTAACTATCAACTTATTTTTTTGTTTTGTTTTCCTGATCAGTCCTCGGGACGGAAATAGTGTAAAACCTTCATGTAAATTAATCCCACTGCCTTCTGTGGTGAAATTTGCTTTTGTGTCTGCATCTGCATGAACAAATATACTTGCCTGTGTTGGGTGTGTGCAACAGTTACATGTGTTTCCACCAGCAGTGATGGAAAGCCTACACAGGCCTTTAGGAAGAAGGTTTCAAGGTCTCTGTTGCGAAAAAGGGGGGCGGGGGGAGGTGGGGTAAATCCGGTAGTTGTGGCTGACACAGACGCAGACCAGGAGGCAAATGGTAATTGTTTATTTACAGCAACATTTAAAGGTTCTTTTGGATTGCCGGTGATAAAGTTAAAAGCTACGGGTGTAACTAAAGGTTTATTGCTAATAACAACAACACACTAGATAGATAGATATATAGATATATATATATATTAATTGGAATAAAATACACTGGATTTTGGTTTGCTCATTTACAAGGGAGCTCCCTCCCTTCCCCAGTTAATTTGAAATTAAAACCTAGAGGCTGAACGTAAGCTCATTCCCAGCGTTCCAAGATGGACAGAACACGAGAGGAGGCCAGAAACTGGACACATGCACTCTGGCTGCAACAGGTTAAGAGGTGAAAGGGAGGCCAGATAT